TCTATGTTATATACTACTAATACCATATATTTTGCTCTTACGGTTTTAATTTGTAATAGGGCACTCTCCTGCATGTGTATACTTTTCATTACAAAAAAGATAAACCTTTGTTCAATATTTACTCTCACTACTGTGGTCTAGTCAATGAAAGTTCACCTAACCCCCAACATGGAGCATCAATCAATAACATTGATTCTGAAACCAATAATTTTCATTATTGTTACGGCTTAAGCTAGCAAAACAAATTATCGCTGATGAGTTCCATGATATAATCATTCAACATATTTTGTTCTTGGGAAATTAGGGTGAACATGTAACTTAGATTTTGAGTTAATTATGATAGTAACATCACAACAGCTCAATATTTTCTTCTTTACTAATAATAAAGCTCGTAAATCAAACATTAAAAACTTTTCTGTAATGCGACCTAATTATCAATAAAGAAAATAATATTTATCCAACAACATGTGTATTATTATCAAATAATTGCATTTAGCTTCAAGTGTAGTATTTTTTGGCTTAACTAACATGAATGAAAGCTGATATTATGTGTGTATTAATAGAATATCTGTCTATCACTAAATTCCTTTGTTAATTAATTATCGCCTTAAACAAGGTATTGAAATTTGAGCAACATATAATAATTGCTTTCTAAAATTAAACCATTTAAACCAAGGAGGTATTAAACTTTATCCTCAGGCATTAAGGGCTAGTTACCTAGCTGCCCAACCATCCACTTAATTATTAAAGATAGATGGTAATACAGTAGCTGCAACTAATCTTATACTGTAAACAGCGAAACAAGATGAGATGATAATGGCCATAATGTTTCAACAACTGCAGCAGGGTTTTTAACATTTATGTAGGCAGATATTGAGTAGCGCTTATTTTTCTTAGTGATGAAATAGTAATTGTAAGCCTACCTGACCAACATTCATTTTACTAAAATTTTATGATGTGCATATTAAAATTTGACGTCATTCTACATATTTTTGAATATTATGATGCTTGAACAATTTTCACCCTTAAGTTATTATAACATTACGCAAGGTAGTAGGCAAACTAAAAATAAACTGACCTCTGCAGGGACGAATTATTTAATACTATTACCACTTCAGACATAGAGGCAGTGGGGGCGCACGCCATTCCAAGCATTTCTTCAAGTAGTTAAATATCACCTAAAATCACCTTATTTTGCGAGTTACCGCCCCTGAACTGATCGTCGAGCCCCCCACCCACCACTTCACCTTCGTGCCCACCCCCATCGGCAAACTAACTTCAAGACTTCTAGATACGCAACTTGTCCCGAAGTCCTGTGTCTCATGGATGCCGAGTTGGTTTTCAAGATTTTTTTTTTTAACTTCACAATCTTCTTTAGTATGATTATATTTTTGTTTTTCATGTATTTCTTACTTTAAAATATTTTTTTATGATTTTAAATTAATTTTTGTGTATTTTCAGTGTCCCTTCTTATTTTGGAAATGAGGAAAAGCCTGTTCTGTTTTACAAAGACATAGTCAGTCTAGTTTAAATAATTGCTATCTAAAATCAATATTACCATAGCAATTTTAAACTTTGTATGGGGTAGGAGATTTGATATTTATTTAAGGACTAAGATTTAAGAACAGGATAATTAATTATTGGCCCTGGGCTCTTTTCTAATAGAAACTGATTAACCAGCAGAAAATCAATAAAATTGTATAATTGAAGTCTTACTATAATGACAGTCTTAAGTAAATCTGATGAAATATTACTTCTTAAATTAGTAACTGCGTAAAATAATTGCCTATAACTGATTAATCTTGTATGAATTAGTTACAGCACGGAGAAAAAAAAAAAAAAAAATTATTATTTTCCTCCATGGTTAGCTTTGTAAATTCAAAATAAACAGTTTGTGTATCAATGAGTGTTTTTCATTGGGCGTATTCAACTGGTTCATTTCGTTGACTACGAATATTCGTTGAGAATTATTTTCATTCGACTAGTTCGAGACTTCATTGACTACGAAAACGTACCCAGAATGCGTTAATCAGTGTTAAGTTATGCACGTGACCAAAAAAAAAATATGGCCGATTGGTCAGTTTAGCAACAACATTGGCGTTAATATAATTTAGATTAAATTTCAGAAAATAAAAATTATAATATTTACCCACATTGAAATCAAAAAATAATTGTAGGCTAACAAAATTCAAAAACTGGATGAAAACATTTTTTTACGAAAAATCCATACTGCTACAATCCGAAGCAGCCTTGATTACGCAGCGTGCATCACGCTAACTATACAGCCATTTTGTTTTGTCGAGTATTTACCAGTTTTTTATTTGACTGGTTGTCTTCGTTAAGTAGGATTCTACCACTGCGCAGGTGGGCGTGGTTTAACGAAGAACGACCAGTCAAATACAGCCAATGTATGTATAAAAAATGTTCTTCGTTAACAAAATGATAAGAATGAGTGAAGTTGTAGCTGAGTGGTTAAGATTCCATACCCAGAGGCCTGGGTCCTAGTCCATACATAGACCCCTTTACATACAGACCAAAAATGTTTATGAAGTTGAAAATTAACCATAAATATTCGCAAAAAAAAAAAAAAAAAGAATAAATAACTTAGAATACCAAATGGAACATAAGAAATTGTAGGTAGAGTTTGTTCTCAGATAATTGGATTGATTATTGGGGGTTTCTATAAAATAAGAACAATAAATAGGATAAAAATAGAACATAGAAAGAAGTAAATAAATCTGTTTGCTATTCCATACAACAGATACCATGAAAATGGGAGAAACTATAAAATAAAAACAATTAAAAGAAATGGAATAGGAGTTTACTTTCTAATCTAATCATATTTATTTATATAACGCCTTTCTTTGCAGATACGAAGCGCTTCTGTACCTGGTCATTGGATCCACATACTAAGTGTTGCTGCTGTATTCAGCGCAAGAGCAAGCAACCCCACCAGGTACCCATTTATACTCCTGGGTGGAGAGAAGCAATGCAGATAAAGTGTCTTACTCAAGGACACGAGCGAAGTTCACAGCGAGGGATTGAAACCCCGACCTCGAGGTTGGGAAACCAAACCTTTCAAGCTGCGCCAAACCGCTTCCATAAGTCATTTTAATTTGCTATTCCAATACAACAAAAATTATGCCAAATGGGGAAACAAAATACTATAAACCCTTGAATAGAAGCCCTGGTATCATTTTTTTTTTTGGAACCTTGTCTTTCTTTCGAGATTACTTTTGCAAAGTAAAGAGGGGGCTGCTTTTTCACGCTGCGCCAAACCGCTTCCACAAGTCATTTTAATTTGCTATTCCCATACAACAAAAACTATGCCAAATGGGGAAACAAAATACTATAAAACCTCGAATAGAAGCCCTGGTATCATTTTTTTTGGAACCTTGTCTTTTATTCGAGATTACTTTTGCAAAGTAAAGAGGGGGCTGCTTTTTCAAAATGAATGCTGCAAATTTTACAGCTACTACATGACATTTTTTCAACTATGGAATCAAAATTCTATTTAATTTTTTTAAAATTTTAACCATGCCAGTACAATAAAATAATAATATTGATACTGACGCACTATCACAATAATCGAAGATAACGTCAGTCTCAATGTAAGTACTACAGTATTTCAAAATCTTGAAAGAAGCCCATGAGCTTCTTTTCGAGATTACTTTTGCAAACTAAAGAGGGGAAAGTGTTCTTTCGAGATGGGCTCCTTCTCCCATGGGGCTTCTGTCTAAGGCTTAATGGTATATAAAATATAACAAGTTAAATGAAATATTAAAAGAAGCGAGGTTTACAGATCACTGAATTATTATTTAATATCTACTGTTAATCCTTATGATTGAGATATCAATAGAATATTCAATATCTTCACACAAAAAATTATATATCATTAGTTTAATCAATGGAAGTGTGTTGTATACTCAATACTCAAACCCAGAAATAATCAATTGTTTCTACTAGAAAAATTATTTTCCCTGTATCTAACTGTTGTTTAGTAACCAACGAATTATATACACCTGAAAATGTCATGCTTCACTCACCACTGGTTAAAGGTATAAACTAAACAGGTCATTTTAACCACTCAAAAGATTGTATTATAATGCATGAAAAGAATTGCCCAAGGGTCTCCAGGTAACTTTTTAAAATCATTCATTCATTACAACTAATAGTAATATGACTATGGTACTAAAATTTGCTTATAAATTTTCTTAATTAGATGTTAAACTTTTCAAAATTATAAATGACTTCTTAAATTTTCATGTACAGTACAGTAATGGCAAATCACACTACCAGTACCATGGATTCTTCCATAGTTCTCTAGCCAAACTCTTACTCCGTGGTGGTAGGCCTACCAACAACCTGGGTTGATGAATAGGGGAGGAAGGCCTATATATGGTGTGGGAAAAATATTTAGGCAGTTATTTTTTAAAAAACAATGAAAATTTGATGTGAAATATACGAGCGGTGGGGGGGGGGGTGTCTTAGTACTTTTAGCTTTGTAATTTTTTGTGGGGAAAAGAAACTGAATTGTATTGTAGTTACGTAAATTGAACTAAATGAAATCTGCCCCTTGTAGGCCTATAGGCTATATTCAGGGAGTTGGTATATAAGTTAATAACGCTATTTACCAAATCATCCCACCTCAACCTGAAATGTAATGGAGAAATGATAAAATACTTTAGGAAGGAAAAAAAGATGACAGAATTTCTTCCTACCGTTGTCGTAAAGAACATGTCCACGCCACCTCGTCACATTCTCCTCCACAGGCAAGGTGCTGGCTTTCGTGCAACCGCCTCCCATTGTAAATTTCGTCTATTTTTTCAGTATCATTGTTGAAAGTCTTCTTCTTTGGTCAGAATTTACTTTCCGTTTGAACCGTTCTGAAATTAGTAATGCAATCATAATTGTAGGGAAATATCAATGAATAATAATATTGCCATCACAAAATCCATGTTAAACACGAAACAAACTAACAATTATGAGTACACGTCACAGACGACCAAGAAATCCACCGTGAGCTGATGCAAGGGAGGTGGTATGATAAGCCTCCTCCAGATTACGGGTGGTACTCCGTTGATAGTGCCTAGGGCCTAGATTCAGGATCTACATGCACAACATATTTCAAGACCTTTTCTTAAAATGTTTACTTACTTGATGATGATGGTAATGTCCAATTGATTCAAGTTCTTGGCCTACTAGTCAACTGAATAATTGTTACCTTCCTATCATCACTGTAGTGTTAAGAAATAGGTGGTGTGTAAATGAAGATGTGAACTGCTCGCAGAAAAAAGTTTGACAGCTAGCAGCCAGCTCGCGCGACGAAAAGATGATCGACATCTCGACAAAAAAACTCAGCAGTTTGGCATTGCGCCCTCAATGACATGTAAATCTTTGATGCATTTCCTTCCGTTACTGTACTTTATTTTTTCCACTGTTAGATTTGTAGTCATTAAATTGTTATTTATTAAACCATTATTTATTGGGTTTTTTTTTTCAAAATCCAAGGTACGGTAAACAATTACATTTAGCTAGAAATGAAACATTAAAATCCAAAAGACCAAGGGAATGACAGCAACGCACTGACATGGGCACAGGAAGAAAAGCAAAGACGAGGAACCACAAAAAAAAAAAAAAAAAAAAAAAAAAAAAAGAAATAAGGGACAATGGACATCATGGGGGAGCAGTTAGAGCGGAAGCAGGTAACAAGGATAGATGGATGCATTCTGATCAGGGACGTATCCAGGAGGGGGAGGAGGGAGCCGTGGGAGCTTCAGCTATATTATGATAATAATATTTATAATATTAAAAAGTGAAGAAAATTGTGGCGAAAAGAAAGTTGTGAGTTGTTGATCACTATAGTTAAAGCTTAGTAAGCCATAGTTAGGCCTAAGTGGTGATTTGATGATGATGATGAATTTTACTATATAAAAGTGTCATTTCTAAGGTACTATTTCCTTAAATTTTTTCGCCTCAGCCCAAACCATGGTGGGCTGATGTGGTTGTGAAATCACAGTTTTGAAGTATATAAAGTACATACAGAAGTCAAAGACAGTGTTTTAAGCTTTGTTTCTATGATACATTACACATATTAATAAGATGGTTGCCAACAATCCCTGATAAAAGATTATGAGTTTTTTTTTTTTTTTTTGGCGCTTCATTTTGAATGGTGATGTGATGATGAATTTTACTGAAATTGTCTTTTCTGGCCATTTAGAAGTACTATTTTCTCAATGTTCGCACCTCAGTCCCAGCCATGGTGGGTCTGGGGTGGGTATCGACTTACAAATTGTCCTCCCCCTCCACCTTTCAAAACAGATCTGCGCC